GCTTAAGATTTTATATTCAGTCATACTCAGTTTTTTGTTTTTTTTGTTTTGTTTTTAACTAATTGGACCAAGCTCTTTAACATGATACCTGGTGGCAGGAGGTCACATGGCAGGCAGTAGGGGCAAGGAAGAGAGAAGACCCTTCTTGCCTCTGGAAGTTAATATGCACTAGAGTGGGCAGTAGAGCCAAAATAAAGTGTTTCTGAGACATTTCTAAATGGTGACATTCTAAGCAGAGGCCCAGCATATAGTCTGTGAGTGGTACTTAACAAAGTTTGGCCACTTGAAGCTGTGAGACCCACCCTGACATCTGTGGGACTTTCTGAAAACCTCTTTTATGTCTGTTTCTGAGAGTGGATTTCTTTATCTTTCGGAGAAAGTTATGTATAATATCTGTTTGGCCTGCCTATCCATAGGATGCTTCTTCATAATAATATAAATGATTAGCATAAAAAAGCCTTTAAAAGAAGCATATGGTGTTTGATGGCAAGGTAGGTGCTTGTTCTTCATCTCCCTTCTTATTTTCCCCTTCTAGCAGTCCCTTAAATGGTAGACTTTTCAGGACTCCTTGGCGTTCTTCTCATCCTCCATTTCTGAGTGGTCTTAGCCATCAGAAGTGTGCAGTATCGCACACACTCTTTTGGGTTCTAGATATTGTGTAACATCCAAGCTTTACCTGGCCTAGTTGCAGTTTGAAGTTGCATTAAAAGAAATAGAGTTTAGCTACTGAACGCATTTGAAAAGCAGCACTCCCTCTCATGTCTCTTGGAGAAGATAATAGCATGTAGGTTATAACTCGGCAGTAGGTTAAAATCTGTCACCAGGCAAGGCACAGTCTTTTTGTGACAGGCTCCTATTTTCTCCAGACTCACCTGAGACTCTTAAATGCAACTCTTCCCAGTCATTTTTCATCTGAACTTCTTCCCATAAACTAGATCTTTTGCTCATGATTTTTGCTGCTCTTATCTTTTTTCTGTGATCAGTCTTGAATGATCCTTTAGTACACCCACTTCCTCTTTTATACTATTCAAAGGCTTTTGAGTACCAAACTCTTTAATTGGGCTTCCAAGTTCCAGGTTGGTCATGCCCATCTCTCAGCAGGATGCATTTCTTCCTGCTCAAGGCCTTTGCCTAAGCTGGTCTGATTGTCTATGTATGTCCCTTAGTCTTTGACCAGATCTCATCTTAAATATGAATTCTTTATCCAGGGCCCCTGTGACTCTTCATGCTGTGGGCTTATGTTTCTCATACTTCCCAGAGACCCTAAGGTCCGTGAGGACAGAAAGTCTCTCTCCTACAGCACCCTCTCCATAGTGCTTAGTGTTCTCTAAGTACTCACTGATTAATGGATGAGGCCATCATGGTTTAGGGGCTCTCTGCCTCTCATTTCATTTCCACATACAATCTACCTCACACTTTCTCTTTATCCCTGATGAACCCCATGTTATCTCGTATTTTTGAAAACTCATGGTGGTTGTTTGTCCAAAACAGACCACCCAGCCTTTCCTAACTACCTCTTGATCGTTGTCTGCATGCAGGGGTTGTCAGTGTCATACAGTGGAACCCAGTGGATAGCTTTATTACCCTAACTGTGTTATTTTCAATTTATTCATTTAAATGTTTTTATAAATAGGGCTGTGTTTTGCCTTCTTCACAGCAGAGAATCTGTTTTATTTATACTCATAATATACTCAGCCCCTGACACAGGTTGAGCTGAATTGAAAAAGTTGAGATGCCTCATAACTTGCGGGTCTTACTGTCTGTTTTCTGTATTTGAGACACAGTTTTAAGTGCCTTACTCTGCTGATTCATTGAATCCTCTGAACCTCTATGAAGGAGTTTTATTCTTCCTGTTTTAGAGAGACAGAACTGGATACCCAGAAAGGTTTTTACTTAACCAGCCGATAAGTGGCAGGGCTGGAATTGAAATCCACTGGTTTCCAAGCCTACCCTCCTCTGATGATTGATCAGTAAAATCTCTGCCTTTAAGACTGGTTGTGGGAATCTGTCAGGTTTAAATTCGGATTCTTCAACTTATTGTATGCCCCGGGGTGAGATGCTTCCCTGTGAAATGGGGACAGTTACATACCTGTAATAGGAATGTGCTGAGGATTGAATAAGTTAATCAGTTCATATAAACTGCATAACGAAATGGAGGCAGTGGTGGCAGTGTTAATTTCATGTGGACATTCATTGGACAGAGATCTTTTGGGGTTCTTTGCAACTCTGAACACAGTGCCCTGACTTTTTATAGTTCCTCAGTCTTTTTTCTTTGCCATTGTTGACTAGGGCCCAAGCACATGTCTCCATTTTGTGGCAAGTATAATGTAAGGATTTTGTGTTGCCTTACATCACTGTCCTCATTTCCCATGCTCAATTCTGAGGGTTAGCTGGCTGAATAAAGATGATCTCTAGCTAAAGAAGGCAACTGAATTCTTGCCTCCATCTAGACCAGTGTGGAAAAATAAATTCACATAATAAATTATTGTTTGAATTTTGAACATGTATTGAGATGTTCTAATGTTAAAGAAACTAAAGAGACTATCTAGTTAACTTGTCAGTATTTCTAGCAGATGTTTCTTTTTTCCAAGGCATTTTAGGGTGGTCTATACTGATAAGTAGTGAAATGGAAATTTTCAGCTGTTTTAGTGATGATTTAATTAAAGACTATTCATTCTGTGTCCACTAACACTTGTTTATTATTGTGATACTCATAAAATCATAAATGCATTGATAGGTACTATAGTAGGATATAACAGTGGTGGAAAATGCAGAGTGTGTAGTTCTCAGGTTTAATGGTCTGACCTGCGTACCATTTAGCAAGTACTTATAAGTAGGTCTGTAACAATATAGTGAATTTCTCAGATGTAAATACAGTTTGCATTACTATCTGACCATTTATTTGGTTTACTCAGAGATGGAAAAAAGCAAATAAACACAGAGTAGAACTTATATAGGTAAAATTGCAGACTATGGTGGTACCAGGAGGGTTCACAAAATAAATACTGAGGTCCAAAACATTGGATCAAGGTGAGACCGGCTCTCACTTACACAGGGATATGAGCTGGCCTTGGTAGTGCTCTAATGCCAGCAGTCTGGGAAGCTGATGCGGGGGCTCTAAAGTTCAGGCATAACCTGGACAACTACCAACTTTATGAAATCCAATTCCAAAGGAAAAAAAGAAAAATTCTGGCAATGTAGCTTAGTGGGAAGGCCCTGAGTTCAATACCCAGTACCAAAAGAAAAAAGGAGGTGGGTGGGGGAGTGAAAGACAGTAACATGGTTTGTATTGGCCACTAATGAAAACAAAGCTCAGTAGATGGATGGGGGATATAGCTCAGTGGTAGAGCACTTGCCTAGCATGTACAAGGTTTGAGGTCAATCCCCAGCACTGCAAAAAGAGAAAGGAAAAAAAATACAAGAAATCCAATTGTTGAGAGCACAGTTATTACCACTGTTGCTGTTAAGTAGTGAAGTATCTTCTATTGTAATAAATGTGACAGGTGGTAGCTTCAACAGCTCTACCATGGAAAATAGCATCAGGTTTCTCAGTGCTGCTTCCTTCAATACTGAGTATATTTTTGGCATCATAAAGGCCAATTCATTAAAAATAAATCTAAATGGGTCCATTATTGATATTTTAGCTAAATCCAGGGGTTGATTTATAATATCCACAGTTAAAAGGATTAAATTTTTATAGCTACTTATTTTTCCACTGAGGTTTTGGTATTGATTAGATATTTCTTGTAGGTTGAGTAGTCAGATATCTATGGAAATTTAAGGTGCCGTAGAGGAATGAATGAGATAAAGACCAGAGGGCTGAAGTTTTCTGTAAGAGACCATTTTGGATTGGACCAAAGTTCTGTATCATAGAAGTAGTGTTTATAAAATAACATGGAGAGTACCAAGAAGATTGGAAGATTTCTAAAAAATAGGTCCATCTCATATTTCTCTGGTTTTCTACTTAGTCCATCTGCTATGAGTAAGACAAGGGCTTCTTTTTTTTAAAAAAGGCATGTAGGTGATTCTAGTCACTAATGTAGTTAGAGCAACTGCCAGAGATTATGCTGTATTTAAATAGTAAAAAATTAAAGCCAATATAACCAAATATACTTCAGCCACAAAACTATTTAGTCTAAGATCATCTATTTTTGAGACTCATTAATTCCTTGATGAATTGTTTAATGTAGGCTGTTTCTCAAGTGTGTACCTAGCCAATTGAATAGATTGACTTAATATGTACTTCTTACTAGTGAACTAATGTAAAGGCTGATAAATCTGCTGGAGATGGTGAAATTGAGTAGTTAATATGTATTCTGGGATAATTTTTTATTCTCACCATTGCCTGGTTACATTTCCATACAGACTAAAAATAAAGTCTTTAGGGGCCGGGGATTTAGCTCAGTGGTTTCGCCGCCTGCTGTGCAAGCGCAAGGGCCTGAGTTCGATCCCTGGTACCAAAAAAAAAAAGAAATAAAAATATTGTCTTTAGAAGAACATTTTTGTATTTGTATTTTTAGTTTTTAAATAGTTCTAGTTGGGTGTGGTAGCACATTTTAACCCAGCAGCCTGAGAGACTTGTTTCCAAACCCAGCATGGGCAACAACTTAGTGACTTAGTGAGTTCTTGCCTCAAAAAAAAGAGCTGGGGATGTAGCTCAGTGCAAAGGCCCTGGGATAAACCTTGTCCTGAGAAGAAAAAGAAAAAAAGAAACCACAACACATTTAAGCATTGTAAAGTTATCTTAGGTCTGTAGAGGTACATTTATTAGTCTTTCAAGTAATAATGTGAAAAATGATACTAAGACTGGTATCTCACACACTTATCTGCAGTGGCCTCAAATTAGTTATAAACAAAATCTTTAAATATGTGGTAATCTTTATTTAAAGTAGGAAGCCAAGCCCACATATTTATGTTTGTGTCTTTAACTAGTGTTAATATTTACAGCAACAGTAGAAATCTTGAGTAAATGTGTCCTGTTCATTTTTTTCTCTTCCTAGGCATTGCTTCTATGACAGTGCCAGTGTATATTGCAGAAGTCTCACCGCCCAATTTAAGAGGCCGATTAGTCACTGTCAACACCCTCTTCATCACGGGAGGGCAGTTCTTTGCAAGTGTTATCGATGGAGCCTTCAGTTATCTCCAGAAGGATGGATGGAGGTTTGTAAATAATTCTTATATTGAGTTTTTCAAATAATGACTTTGAGAAATTGTGGAAAAAAATTGAGAAATCACAGGCAAAAATTATAACTGGATATTTTGAATCATTATAGTTATGTGGGTGGCATTCAGCAAAATTGAAAGTAGACAAGAAGCTGATACTTATTTTAATGATAGACAAGGAACCTACCATTAAGAATTGATATTTACAGGATTTTTTAGCATTTAGGTGACATTTCTCACACTATGGGTAGTCTTTTGCAATATTTGTTTAAAAATGAATGTAGTAATAAATATGCATGGAGTTCTGGAATTATATGAATGATTGACAAGCTGTTTATGAACTACAGATATATCATCCTTGGATTTAGGAAGACACATTCTGATTTGAAAGAAACCTAAGTTTTGAAGATACCGATTTAGTTATATAAAAAAGATATACTGTATGTGTAAGTTTAAAATAGACAACATATTGTATATATTATTGTTTGGCTTATTATGAGTCAAAAGAAATTATAAAAGTGATATTATAAAATCATTAAAATAAATTTAAATGGAATATTGTGAAAATATTATTGAAGCTTAAAGATAGGTGTGCTGGATTTTGATTTCCTGCATCAGTCATTCAAAACAGCAGATTTGTATAATTACTCCAAATAAATTTAAAAGCCACACTAAGTTACACAGTATTTTTCAAGTTGCTTCCTCACCACTGTTTACTACAACACATGTTTATTCAGCTTCTACTGGGTCAACACTAGGAATAGAATATAGAGCAAGATGGAATGAAGCTCTTGATTACATGCATTTATTAATTAATTGTTTTTACTTTACCTTAGAAGGATTTGATATAATGGGAATGTAGGGAATTAAACTTCTATGTGAACAGGATGATTTTCCATAAAATGTAGGATGAGCTCCTGAAGTCTTGAGCAGTTTCTATAGAAGTCATGTGAGAAGTCTTCGAAGCCACTGAGGGCTGAGCACATGCCTTTGTCAGGACCCTTAGGCAGGACACAGGGATCGATCACAAGGCGTGGCTGTGTCTGCAGACTAGGCCACCTGTTTATCTTTATACTCAGTCTTTGCTAAAGGAAGAAATTGCTGAAAAATTGAAGGAGGAGGAAAGTTCATCTTTCTTTTTTACTCTGTAGATGGAGAGAAAGAGGAAAGTAATTGTTAGGTTGTTAGCATAACCTGGTATTTTGAGTTTTTCTTGAAAATTTAACTGAAGTCAGTTAATCCTTAAATCTACATGTCTTTAAAAGTCTGAAATCATCTAACATTTTATTTAAAATTTCACATAACTTTATGATTTTATAATGTAATGTAGTATAGATACATATTTAGTATATAACATATTGAGTGGATAAACTACCTTTCTCACTTAAGGACAGCAACTTAAATATTTCTTCTCACTGGGCAAGGTGGTGCATGCCTGAAACTCCAGCACTGGGGGAGCCAAGGCAGGAGATTGTGAGTTCAAGCCCAGCCTGGACTGTGTAGGAGACACTGTCCTCCCCCTCCCTTCAGAAGAATAAATCTTTTCTCAGTACTGGTTAGGAGAGTGAGAAAGATCGTACAGTAATGAAAATAAATTTCTAAATGTGGGGTATCTGTGTAGAATTGGCATTGTTTGGATGAGCCTTAGACACTTTCCAGAGGCCCGGTGGCAAAGGCATTGACCTGGATTCAGATCTCTTTTCTACCTTTTGAATGTTGGCATGAACCTGGTACAGATCACTTTACCTCCTCTAAGATTTATTTTTCTACCAAAAATACATTATAATATTGTTATGGGACCTAAATTATTACATATAAAGTATTCAGCCCAGGGTTTGGCATATGGCAGATACTTAAAAAATAGTACATCACATTGTTATTTACTTTTCTGATGAATGAATCAAAAATGAGGGCTATTATTATAGGTGAGGGAAGTTGCTTCTGTTTTCTTTCTTTATGAAACTAGGACTTGGATAGAGCAGAGGCCTAGAAGAAAAAAAAAATTTAAATGCCCAAAGTGCTGTAGGAAATTAGGCAAACACTCAAGTCAGCAAACGATTTCTACATAACCAGGTGGCTACAGATGAAATTGGAGACATTCATCTTGGTAAAGTCAATTAGCATGCTTGTGTGTATTTTTCCTATATTACTGGAGAGCTCAGGGGTTTAAAAAAAAAAAGAAAATGGTGGAACCAGGGCTCATACTCACTAAGGCATTTGTAGCCAGTTATATTGAACTCCACTTATTATTTGTACAGATTCACACTTAACTATGTATACATGCAAACACACTTAGTTCTTTAACAGGTAAATTTTCTGTGAGCTACTGTCTTTCATTATTTAGCATCCTGAGCAGTATTTAACCTCATCTGACCCCTGGGCTGATACAAATGTGATTATAAGCAACTGAAGATAGAAATGCTACCTGAGCATTAGCTTCAGATGCTGGAATTGTCAGTGAATATAATTTATTCATATTTATAACAATGGATAATTTACCACTTTTGTGGCCATATGTTTCCAAACTCCTAAAGCAAATGTGGGTCTAAATATTTTATGTAAAATTTCTTTTTCATACTTATATCTCTGTGTATCTTAAACTAAGATGTCTCCAACCTAAGAGTTTGAATATTTTAGTAGTTTAGTTTTTATTTTCATTTTTTACTTTTACTGCTCTGACACTCCAGGTTACTAACATTTGATATTATATTTTGTAGTCAGTATCTCTGATTTCATGGCTTACATTATAGTGATGACCAAGTTTAGAGTCAACTAGTAAATATCATTTGCATCTGGGCAAAATCTTGAGAGGTTAGTAGACCTGGCTTATTCTCATTTTTAGATTTAAAAATTTGATGCTTAGAGAAGTTAAATATTTGCATGGGACCACATGTTCAGAGACCACTGAGCCACAAGTGATTCTGAGATTCCTCGGCAGAAGTTTAGAGCTGACTCTCCTTATTCAGAATCTAACCATTGTCTTTTGCTTGCTCTGCTACCAAGAGTTTGTAACCTAAAAGCCAAAAGTATCCATGATTTTTACAGTGGTAATTACACTCCAACCTGTGGAAGATGACACTCAATGACAGAAATGCTTCTTAGATTTTGATGTTATGGAAAGGCTATACCTTCTGTGCCAGATAAGTCAAGGTTTCTGTTCTCTTATTGTTTGGATGGCATAGAAATGATTTTTCTTTTTTTTTTTTTTAACATTGGGAATTGCATCCAGAGCCTCTCATATTGCTGAGCTGAGCTATATCCACACCCCTTTTTAAAAACTTTTATTTTGATAGAAGGGTCTCACTAAGTTATCCAGGCTGGCCTTGAACTTGTGATTATCTGGCCTCAGCCTCCTGAGTAGCTGGGATTAAGGATGTGTGCCACCATGCCCAGCTCAATAAATTATTTTCTGTTCAACAAAAAGATACCTTATGTGCCTTATGTTTCAGGCACAGTGATAGGGAGGGACATTCTAGGTGCAGTACAATTTTCAAAGGCCTTGCAGTCCAAAACAGTCCGTTATGCTTGGATGGCAGTGAGAAGTTGGAGCAGCGAGGTGGGGCTGTGATGTTGGCTGGGAGTGGGTGCGGGGCCTTGGGAAGAGGAGTCTTCGTGGTTGTGGACAGAAGTCCAGTCTGTTGTTTGCCTCCCCCTTAAAGTTCATTTGTTTTTCTTTCCCATTCTTTTCAAATAACCCATTTGGTTTGTTTATTTGGAGTCTCAGAATAATTTTTAACAAACCAGTATTATTTTTGGATAAATGAATTGATATGCCTCCTTCCATCATCATATTTTATAATGTATAAAACCATGTCACTAAGAGTTTTTCGGAATGTTATTTGAAAGGGGATGCTATTTGTAAATAAATGTACACTGGAGACAGTGTGTGTAAAACTTAGTGCTGATCAGTGATACTTGGCTGTGTGTGAAGTATAGAATGTGAAGCCATCTCAGTCTTAAAAGTTGATGCAGCCACCATTTTAAGAAAGATGGATTTGGATAACATATTAATTGGAGGTTACCATTTGATTACAGGCAAATATCTTAAAAGGTATTTGTAATTTTGTTATTAATTGAATTAAGACATAGGACTATTTATCATAAAGATATCTAGTGTACCTTGCTTTCACAGCATATGAGTTGATTTGTCTAAGCTCTACTATCCTCACATGGCTAATGTTTCTGCAATTGTAGAGTGTTATTGTAAAGATCAAATGAGATAGTGGCTGTGAAAATACTTAAAAGCCTTTAAATGATACTGGATATCGTTTGCTGCGATTTTCAGAAAGCCCTAGGTTCAGCCTCTGTATCCTGTATCTAAAGCTGGCAAGAAAAATTACCCTCACTGTCAGATATCTCATATTTCCAGGTTAAAAAGTAAACATAGTTTGGTGATGGCAGAGGCTTGTATAAGACTAATCCCTCTGTAGATGAGCATTAGCCACTTAACAGTTTACCCTGAATGTCACTTGGGCAGTGGGATTATTTAGGCACTGACCATCCTGAGTGACACCTGGGCAGATGTCATTTCCATCAGTTGGTTCTTTTGTGGAATAAATTTGATAAAACTGTCATTTTATGTTTTCTGATATATTATCTTATAAAAATTAATTTAAAAATACACAATTTTTGGTCATCCTGCTTTTAAATAATTGGACCAGTAAGTGGGTAAAAATCGTGAACAAAATGCTTACAAAGCAAACAAACTAGTAACACAAGCACACAGAGGATCTTCAGAGTGGAGAAAATATTCAATATGATAGTATGTGGTAGACACATGTATTTATACCTTTGTCCAACTCATGGATCTTTTAATATCAGTAGTGAACCATAGTGTACATTGTGGACTGGTGATGTGCTAATGCGTATTTCTAAGTAGACTGATAAATGAAGGTTGCATGTTTTTATCCGTAGAAAAAAACCACAAGAATATATATTAAAAAGAAATAGCTAAGGAGCCATTATGAGAATTAAGATAGAATACTTAAAGTAGTTGA